GAAATCTGGGTGGTTTTGAACAGATGTGGAGACATGACAGAGTTCATTTAGAACATAATCAACAGATAATAATAGGGTACTCAGAGAAATTGCAGTGAATGACAAGTACCATCAGCCTTTTCAAAACAGCAAAATTAGACATTTTTAATTCCACATGCACAACAGTGTTAGAAGAAGCAGGAAATGACTAATTTGGAATCCTTTTATTATGTTCTAGTTTTCAAAAATTATACTGTAACATTCTCAAACATTATCCCAATCCTTTTCTGCCCACCGTCTCCATAGGAAATAAGATATTGTTCCACATGTTATTTGAAGCAGACTGGCTCTCTTGTGTACTTAGTTGTATCCTCCTCTTCCTCCCTGAGGCCTGACAGTGCTCAGCGTGTCAGGATGAGGCCCCAGCATCCCTCATGTACGATCTGTGGTTTTTATCCATCTGTTTTATGAAACTCCTACTCCTCAGACTTCCATAACGCGGTGGCTAACTGGAGTACTCGGGAAGGTTTGGGTTGTTGTCATTACCTGTGTCTGGTTTTGCAGTGCTGCCCAGAGGACTGAGCTGGATTTTGTGGGTTCCTTGTTGTGGTGGGAGGGAGGACCTCCACTTGCAGCCCACCGCCTGGCCAGGCTTGCAACCAGAACAGTTCCCCCCAGAAATGTATTTAGACCGGGAGGGCCATGAATTGCCGGATTGGGGGGGTTGAACCCGGCTGGCAGAAGCAGTGGGGCAGTGGGGATGGGCGCTTTGCCCCCCAAGACACAGTGGCCACCTGCCCCTCTGTCTCCTGGCAGTCACCAGGGGTTCTCAGGGCTCTGGTCTTCAAAACCTTGGTGCAACAAAAAGTAACTGGAACTGCGTTCTGGTTCTCCTTCACCTCTTCCTCCTGACTCTTCCACCGCTCGCTAACCCTTGCCCTGGGGCTGCAGCCTTCTGTCCGATGCAAAAGCGAGCCCCACCACTGTCACAGCACTCCTTTGGGCAGGATCTCAGATGCTTCCAGATGTGTGAAATACAGGCAATTTATACAGCACTGTCACATACACCAATATAGCTTGCATGCTGCTTGTAAACCTGGGCCTCCTTGAGTTTTTTATCATATGTCATGACTTGCAATTCAGTATTTTATATGCAGGTAGGTCATTCTGCATGTGTCATCAAAGCTACACTATGCAAGCCAGTGTCAGGAGAAGCTTGGCTGTCAGTGTCCTGCTAATCTCAGTTTTTAGTAAAGATACCTTCAATAACCTGTGCTTGCAAAGGGAAAGACACTGACATTCGGAAAGTCGCTGAGTGGCTGCGTTCTCACCGTCAGACTGAACAGGATTTCCTATGCTGACTGTGAGCACTAAGGAAGCCAGAACAAAGATGACAAATGCTTTTGTAAAAGGGATCATCAGAAGACACAGCAGGTTCAGTGATCATTGAGGCTTGTCTTAACACATGAGCGATGTCTCCTGAGAGCAGTAAGCTGCTCTCCTGCTTGGCTGCAGGTCGGCTGGAAGGCCGATGAAAAACCATTCATAGTCTCTGCAGATGTACAGAACCAGTAAAAACATTAGGTTTGGAGATGTGAATAAAGTTGGGTCTTGATGGAGTTTGCCAGCTGGGAGTCTGCCATTTACAGTTGCTGTAGAAGCACTTTCCTAGTTGCAAACTAAACCGCTTTCCTTAAAGAAAGCAGCAGAAGAAAAACAATCTGAGCTAATACATACCAGTTGTTCAGATGACGTGGGAATGGTGATGAGAATTATCTAAAATGTGCTGGCTAAGAGATAAACTTGTGAACTTTGCAAACACTACATAAAGAATGGTATTAAAGCTTAGCAGAGCTCTCACCCTTGGTTTTTTTAAACCTTCTGGGCTAATTATGTGTCTCCATTACCTGTGGCAGCTAGGTATTTCATTCCCAGCCTACATCTATTTTCAGATCTAGACGTATTTGCTGTCCTTCACAATTCCTGCATTTATTTCCAGGCTGATATTTTTGGTTGGGCATCTATTCTCTCAGTGAACAGACAAGCTTTCTATTTATTGAAATTCATCTTGGTATGGTGAAGATTAAAGCATGGAATTGATTGAGAGGAGCGCTTTGAATCCGCTTTGAATCCATTAAGTACGATCTGTCTTTCATTTACATTTCAGACCTTACTTCACCCCGTATTTGATAACATTCACTCTACAAACCCTATCTCCACAAAATGCTTAGGTACCAGATTTGGATGCAAATGTACAATCATTTTCTGCCTGAACCTTAAGGACATCTTAAATCTTAGTGCACTAAATTGGCACATTTATAGGAGCCTCAGTGCACCGGTTTCTGCAATGGGGTATGCACCTGCTCTACCAGAGATAAACACTTGCTTGTTATTATATTATGTCTTGTTTTAATGAAGATTTGAAGTTCTTGATGATCTCCATTTATAAACACCCCAATTAGAACATGCCGTCTGATTACAGCAGTGAAGGAGGAAAAGGGAAACCCAGATTTCAACTTTTTTAGATAGACAAGAGGATGTCAACATAGAAGATTCACTTTGCAGAAGGTCTCACCACTAAAGTAGAGGATATTCCCCAGCTTTCCTCCTCAGCCCCTTCTCCTAAACACCTATCAGAAATGACATGTCCCATTTTTGCGAGAATATTCTAAACCAAGCCCTGAAGGGCTTTCTGGTTCCCCGTGACTATTGAATTTTTTTGTGCTCAGTGAAACCGCTC